CCCCACCTGGATGGTCCTGGCTGTGCTCTGGTGTTCCATGGTGCAGACCTTGCTGCTCCCGTCTTTCATCTGGTCCTGCGAGCGCTACCGAGCAGATCTCCGCACCGTGTGGGAGCAGTGTGTGGCTATCATGTCTGAGGAAGACGCAGATGATGGTAAGCTCCTCACGAACCCACAGTTACCTTTCTTCACTAACCACCTCCCCAAAAGACTACAGAGGAAAGAGGGGGTCTGCCTTGGGAAAGGGATTTGATGGTGTTGCAGGTGGCTAAGTGAGATGCATGTTACAGCTCGGAGTCAGTAACCATGAGAAAATTTTTTCTGGAGAAGGCTCTGCCACTTGCTGCTTTAGGACTAGCATCCAGGAAGAATTAGTGCAACATCCTTCTCAGTAGTTGCAAGTGTAGAGACATTGTGTGTGGCTGCCAGACCACAGCCAAAGTGGCATGCTGGGCCTCAGCCCAACTTGCTGATCCAAAGGTCCAAGATCTTTGGCAGTGAGCAATTCAAAGGCAAGACAGAAGAAATAGGGCAATCTGTGGGTGCTTTAGTGCACTGCAGGCAGAAAGACGAGATCCTTGTTCAGAGGTGAGCCCTGAGGGCTGCAAGTAGGGCAGCAAGTCAGACAGGCGTTGGGATGGCATCCAGGTGCCCTGATAATGCTACTCAGAATTCTGACTGAAAAGTGTTGACTGCCATTCTCCTCCTTGCCAACAGATGGTGTGTGTGATGATTATGGTGATGGCAGGATCTGCAAAGTGAGATTTGATGCGAACGGCGCTGCAGCTGTGAAGCGGGACTCCCGGGACATCAAGCTGCTGCCCATGCACCACATGTTGTTGCCCCAAGACAAGGTGCACTACCTGCAGGTGAGCTGAGAGCTAGCAGGGGCAGCCCCACAACCCACTTCCTTCCTTCTCTGTCAGTCTCCCACGCCTTTATGCCCTCTTGACTCTCTTCTCTGAGAAAGCCTCAGCTACTCCCTTCCTGTTCTGACTCTTCAAGTCTTCCATCACCTTCCTCCTTCTCTGTTTTCCAGGTCCCTATCTCACGGAGAATGTCACATGATGAGACTAACATCTTCTCCGCCCACCGCTCTGCTCCATCCTTCCTACACAAGTGGTCTTCATCTGACGACATCCGCATTGCTACCCCCCGCAAGCCTGGGGCCCCTGGATTCTTGCCTCCTCAGCTGCATGACTACCAGCACCGCCGGCGGCCCCCAGAAGATGAGCTGACAACCCTACGGCAATTTTTGGAGGGGGGGCTACTGCCCCGGGGCTCCAGCTCCAGCGCCTGCTTCTTCCGAGATGAGATCACCACATTCATCGACGAGACGCCGCAACCCACCCCAGCCTGCAGCCCACGGCACTCCCGTCTCCTGCTCGCATCACGCCGCGATCGCCGCCTCTCCCTCGGCAGCAGAGAGGAGGAGAATGCCGACCGGCCACGGCGCTGCTCCGTGGTTGGCAACGAAGTCTGGCATCTGCAGAGCGGAGAGCAGGCGCCATGTGAAAGGACCCTTGAGGCCTGCGAGCCACAGACCTTCCAGGATCCCAAACTATGAGAGACAGCATCAAAAACATTCAGTGCCATCATGATTTTTAAATAAAACTGCAAGTGTTCCCTTTGTTCCGGGACCCAATCACTAATTTGCATTCTCATCTTTCTCGCCAGCAGGCAGGAAACACAGCACCCCACTCTGTTGGGGTAAAAAAGAAGTGGGACAGATCCGCAGAAGGGAGCACAACAGAGGGACAGCCAGCCTGTGCCTGCTCTCAGGTTACAAACACATCCACTGCTGCCACCGCCACTTGGCATCCTCGCCAGTCCCGTCCCTTTGTGAACTCCACCCTCGCATCCGCTCTGCCCTAAGAGAAAAGGCAGGTGCAGAATGGTATTAAAATTCTATATTTGGAGTGTCAATTGTGTGTCTGTTTTTAAAATACTATATTAGTAATAATTTTGTTTCCATAGAAACAAAATGACTGGCCCAATGTTTAATGAATCTTCACAGGCTTCTGGAAGGGAAATGCAGAACGTGCGAGGCTCCTTTCCTCCCTCTTTATCCTTTCTTGTTGGTGCATCTGAAAGGTAGCAGATGCTTCACAGCTCAGGAAAGGGAATGATGCCCACAGAGGAGCTGTCATGGGAGACTGGGTGAAAAGTCTTCCTGTTCATTTCAGGGGATATAGTGCTAAGCAGGAGTGGCCTCTGGGGTTTCAAACATTGCTCAAGCAAAAGGTTTTGCTTTGAGGAAATGCCAGGCTTGAAAAAAATTCTCTCTAAAAAGTCCCTGACCCATAACATCTCATTTCACCAATGCAAACTGTTGATTCCAGTGTGAACTGTGCATGAAACATCAGATGACCCAAACTTCTCACCCAAACAGGAAAGCTGCCAGAGCCTTCTGGGGGAAGACCCCCAGCTGCCCATGTCATCAAAGCTGGGAGCGGTGAGATCTGGAACAGGCTCCTGCCCCATGCAAAACTCTTGGGAGGGCAGTGCAGGGGTAGCATATGGGAGATGGACCTTCTCCTGCCTGATGCTGGCTGTAGTTCCAGGCACAGGCATAGGTTTGGCTGTGTGGGAGATGGACCTCCTGCCCAGTGCTGGCTGTAGTTCCAGCCATGGGCAAAGATTTGGGAGTGTCAGAGGAGCTGTGGGAGATAAGTAGCCCTTCACCTCTAAAGCGGTTTTCCATGTGATGGGACTTGGTCTATGAACTATCCAAGTGTGACTCCTGATAGATTACCCTTAACCTCTTATGAGACGCCTCGTTGGAGGGGTTTGGGCGAGCCACACCAAAGGGAGGGTTCGGGCTGGGCTGGCTGCCTGAACCAAGGGCCACGTCAGGCGGAGAGGCACCACGACCGGGCGCCCCCGAAGCGGCGTCGTCTCAGCGAGGCTGCCCGCCCACCGTGGCCCTGGCCCGGCACCGCCCCCGGGTGGGCCGAGCGCGGGGCTCGCCGGGACGCCCGCCCGCCTCGGACCCCCTCTCCTCCTACTACTTCAGCCATGGCCTCGCTGCTCTGCCTCAGCCTCCTCGCCGCCGCGGCCGCCACGTCGCCGGGCCGGCTGGTGCCGTACGACCTGCTGTACGCGGACGGGGTGCGCGCCTACCTGGCGCGGGACTGGGCGCGGGCGGCCGAGCTGCTGCAGCGCGCCCTGCACAGCTACGCGGGGCTGCGGGCGGCCCGCCGCGCCTGCCGCGCCGCCTGCGCCCGGGAGGAGCCCTTCCCCGCCGGGCCGGGGCGCTGGGAGGCCGCGCTGCTCGGCCCGGTGCTGCAGCGAGCCGGCTGCCTGCAGCGCTGCCTGGGGCGGCGGCTGCTCCCCGCGCCCTCCGCCCACCGCGCCAGCCGCGCCGTGCGCCGCGACTTCGAGCGCAGGGAGCCCTACAACTACCTCCAGGTGGCCTTCTTCCAGGTGGGCACCGGGCCAGGGGGATGGGAGTCGCCACCCCCCGGGGGCTGCTGTGAGCCGGGGCAGGGGGCCTGAGGGGGTGGTGGGCAAGGGTGAACTCTTCGCCCTCAGCCTCGAGAAGAGACGACTGAGAGGGGACCTTGTCAATGCATTGGAATGGGCTGCCCAGGGAGGTGGTGGAGTCACGGGCCCTGGAGGTATTTAAGAGACTAGATGTAGCACTTAGTGCCATGGTCTATTAGACAAGGTGGTGCTAGGTCAAAGGTTGGACTTGATGATCTCAGAGGTCTTTTCCAACCTGGTTGATTCTGTGATTCTCTGAATGTGTATAAATATGTAAACGGGGGATGCTAAGAGGATGGAGCCAGGCTATTCTCAGTGGTGTCAAGCAACAGGATGAGAAGCAACAGGATGAGAGGCAACAGGCAGAAACTGATGCTCAAGAAGTTCCACCTGAACATGAGGAAAAACTTCTTTACTGTGAGGGGTGACACACTGGAACAGATTGCCCAGAAAGGTTGTGGAGTCTCCCTCACTGGAGATATTCCAGATGCAATCCTGTTCCACGTGCTGTAGAACAGCTCTGCTTAAACAGGGAGGTTGGACCAGGTGACCTACTGTGCTCCCTGTGGTAGCTGTGGGCAACCTGACCCATTCTGTGAACCCAGGGAGCAGCTGGGGTGAGGGGTGGGTGTGAACATCAGGGGCCCACAGGAGCATGACAGACGC